ATGGACTAGTGTTATTATAATCCGAAGACAGATTCAAATTATCTTGATTACTTTTTGAGTTATGGCCGAAATGAACATTTTTACTTGAACAGCCTATTATGGCTTATTTCGTATATTAAAATTAATAATCATAAAAGGGTGAACCCTTTCAATATACTGTATCAGCAATTACTACGTGAGATTAAAATTCTGACACATTTTAGCCACGAAAACATTGTGGACATAAAAGACTTGAAATATAAGTCGGGTAAAAACAGCCCAATGGAGCGAGTGTACATTGTTCAAAGCCCTATGCAATATAATTAAACCACGATGTTAAAATTGACGACGCTAACCGATGAAAACGTTGCATATTTTACCTACCAACTGCTACGAGCACTAAAGTACATACACTCGGCCAATGTGTTGCATCGGGACATTAAACCGGATAACATTTTAGTAAACAGCAACGCAGATCTCAAAGTTTGTGACTTTGGTCTAGCACGGGTGACCGATCCCTTAAAAAGTGGCAGTCAAACTGTATACGTGACCACCAGGTGGTACAGAGCGCCTGAAGTTATGCTGACCGAAAGTTGCTATAATAATTCAATGGACGTGTGGTCTGTGGGTTGTGTGTTGGGAGAGATGTTGTCCGGTAGGCCACTATTTCCTGGTCAAAATCATTATCTACAGGTTAATTGCATATTAGATGTTCTTGGTAGCGAGTTAGATGTGAGCTGGATTACTAACAATTATATTCGCGCTTCGATAATCTCGCGACAACTAATGGATCAAGTTAATTGGCCGGATAAATTTCCGAACGTAAACCTTCAAACCCTGAACCTATTGGGAGGTTTGTTGACATTTAATCCTAATTGTCGTATTAGTGTTGATCAAGCGTTAGAGCATCCGTACCTCAAAACCTACTACGACCCGAACGATCTGCCTGTTGTCCAAAATCCACTGACAATCTTTAAAAAGGTTGATAAGGATCTGTCGATTGAACAGCTAATACAGATGATTATCAACCATATTAATGAGTTTAATGCTATGCGAGAATCTGTGTAATGCTGTAAAACATATTAATCAATAATTATTACTAATAACAATCTATCCCATTTTGTACACACTGTACTAATCTATTTGTTTATGTTCTCGACTTGAACAACAAGTTATACTGTAGTAATTTCAGTAATTTACTAATAGGCAAACCGTTCGGATGATTTTTGGATACTTTTTTCATAGTTTTAAAAACAATAATGACTATTACAACTATTTGTTCATTTTAAAGCATTAGTTAAATACTATTTGTTATGATTTTCTGACTATTGCATGGTTTTTGTGTAGTCTGCATATTAAATGACTTATCATTTGGTTCCCATTTTACTAATTACAAATCACACTATGAAATTGTTTCAATAATATAGAAATAATTGAAATGTATTGTTTTCAATTATTTGTTTTGAACATAAAATTATTTGAATAATGTTAACATTATGTTATTTAATTTTTATGATTAATATTGCAATTGTAATTATAAATAAAATTTATTAATTATTTAATTTCAGCAATTATTATTGTGAGCATTAGTAGTGCTCTTTGAAAGCGAATATATATAATTATTTGTTGTTAATATGAGTTGGGGAAAACCAGAAACTCACCAACTTTTGCCATATTACTCTATGGGAAGTAAGAGATAGCGATAACTTAAAATTTACTTGATCAATTTTAACAAATTATATACTAAAATGTTTATCATATAAAATATTGCTGTTCAGTCAAGGTGCTTTTGGCACATTGAAGTAGAAAATCCAATTGTCATAAACAACATTAAAATTATGTTTTAAAGTTTGGATTAAAAATTATTAATCATTTGAATGAATGAACATATTATACACAGAGGGTCAAATGTTCATAAAATTGTTGATAATCACAAACAAGATCAGAAATCTTATTAAAATGTATATTTAATAATTAAGTTTTGTTTCAAATGACATTTGTGGGTAGACTGAAAGCCAACCACCATAAAAATGGATGAGAAACTATTAGGTTGACCTTCATGTGGTGTTTCTTGTTTAATACTGACAAACCTGAACTTTTTACTGACCGTTGCGCCACCTTTTTATGGCTCACTGTGAATCTGTATATGTGATATTCTAAAAAAGACTGAACAGCAATACACTATATTTTAGTTTTAGGTATACATTGTACAGTACAGTGTAAAATATATCCTAATAAAGTGTATGGAGTGAGTTCTATGTATTCAACGATGTAATAAATTGTCAGTCAGACATTACCTGAGTCTTATCACAAGTGCATCAGATATACACTTGAAATGCATTGAAAAATGGGTTATTTTCACATAAAAACGTCAAACATTTAGATATGATTTTTATGTCGAAATATTTTAATTGATTAATATTTTTTGATAAACGACTCGTTTGTTATCGCGATAATCATAACAATTGAACCCTTCTCTCTCTCTCTCTCTCTCTCTCTCTCTCTCTCTCGTCTCGACTGTACTCTCTGTTAATTTTTGTTTTCTGTCGTTAATAACCCATTTGTATTCATAGCCAATAATAACATTATTAAAAAGTTTTAATTGTTTGTGTAATAAAATTTTATATACTTTTTTTGTTGCAATAATTGGCTGCCGATTGTTTGGATAACCCATACTTGACATATAAGATGCCGATTACGGTAATTATCAGCCTATTTAGTAAAGTACTAATTAACTGTCCCGGCTATGGATACTTACAATTGTTGTATTAATAATACCATTTTATGTGTTACAGTCAACGAGGTATTTCCAAAATCATTGTCTACTAATTAATCTTTTGTAACCCTTTTTTATTTTTGTTTTCAATTGATTTCGACAAATATTTATCTAGTTTTTTCATTTTGACTTAAATGACTTGAATTTTAATTAAAATTGTTTTACTGATGCAAAAAATTGGAAAAATTAAATGTGAAATCCAATGTGTTTTTACTTTTAAAACTTTAGGGAAATCCTATTCTTTGTTTCCATAATATTTACATTTATGTATATTTTTCATATTAGCTACTTGTATTAATTTAATACAAAAAATATATGAATAGTCTAATAAATTATATTTTAATTATAACTTCTTAAATGGTTTATAAATATTTTATTATATAATTTTGCTAATAAATAGTGAGTGTTTATTTACATTAAAAATCAATGTATTGTTGAATAGGTTTGAATAAAACACAATAACAAAGTGTACAAAGAATTAAAGCAAAAATGTAACGAAATTTTTGATACCAAACAAGAGGTTTATAAAACTTATTTTTATTTTCTGCTTAAAAATTATAATTTTTTACAAAACTAAAAACTATTAAAAATATGTTTTTAAACCAATGGAAATATACTTTTCTCTCCAAAGTATGAAGAAATTAAGTATATTTTTGAGTTGTTTTCCTTAAACATGTCATAAAATATAATTTGAATTCACGTATTATAGAAGTAAATGATTTTTGAAAATTCTTTGTCCTTTTAGTTTAAACCAAAATATTATTTGTAATATTTTTATGCCATTTATTTTCCAAAAATTTATATTTAAATTCATTAATTATTTTTAATTAAATAAATCTCAAATATTGACTTTTCAATGAAGTATTTTTTCTATTTCGCTGTGTTTTTCGTTTTGTTGTTATTTTAACCCAAAAAATCAATAGATTTTTTTGAATGCATTAAAAATAAAGCATTTATTAAATGCAACAAAATTTTAGTAAAAACACATAAAAATAATTAAGAGATTAAACAAAACTTTTGGACTTAATTACAAGCGATAAATAATAAAGTTTTCGTTTATCAAAAGCATGTGTAAAATAATGCCATTTATAATAGTTTTTTCAAATACTATCGCAAAGTAAACTAGTTTTAAATAAAGTCCAAAATTAGTTTATGATGGGAAATTGTAATTTAATTAAATAATGTTTACTATTGGTATAAATGTTTAATAGTGTTTATAATTAAAAGTATTAACTAAAGGCTTTTATATAGGTTTTAAAAATAAAAATATCATTTTATTAAACTAACGCTAATTAATATAATATAAATTAATTATACAAATCTAATCGTATTCATTATAAATTATACACAAGACATGCCTTTTATCGACAATTATTTTAATGTCATTTAAATCACATTTATTAGAATTAATTGGAAAATAGCATTAAAATCCTTGAAAATCGATTTAAACTATAAATAAATAGTATTTTTAATAAAAATATCAATTTTTTAAATTTAAAAATATACCCAAGAATTGTTGTCAAGGTCTACATTGTCTCCGATATCGCTATCGCAATGTTCGCGACAAATAAATTAATTAATAAATAGCGATAAAAACCAGAATATAATTTTTTATTGTCACTAAACTGGAAATATTGTAAAATTTTCCTAATCCTCTACCTCTATAATTTTGATTTTACTTTTATATTTGATGCTAATATATGTTTTTAAATTAAAAATTTTGAAATTCTTCATGTTATAAATAAATTAAAATACTGTATTATTGTTAGTGTGTTTTTATGCATTATAATTGTATATTTATTTAGATTTAAACATTGTTTTAAAATTTTGATATTTTATTTGTATCTCAATAACTCCACTAATTCTGAATACAATATTCGCTTTCATTAATTCTTTCGCTCCTAAGTCTCGATAAATCCTTTTTTCATTAAATGATAATAGAGAGAGAGAGAGAGAGAGAGAGAGAGAGATGATTGTGAAATTTTAAATGAAATTAAATGTAAATGATTTCATTTGTTTTATCCGTTTCTTTGTATTATATTTTATTAATATTTATGATTTTATAGTTATAACGGAAATGATTTACATTTAATTTTTTACAATTCATTTGTTTTGACGTTAAATGCATTTATTTCGTGTGTATTTAAGTTTGCGTTGAGAATAATTAATTTCTTAATTTATTTAAAATAAAATATATAATGAATGAAATGTTTGCAGAATTTTTCATTATTTTATGTTTAAAAACTTATGTGATTTTATGTGAGTTTTATTAAAACCGATATTTTGTCATAAATTCAATATTGAATATAGAATTTAATTAATGTGTTAATAAGTGATGTGCAAAAATTTCTTTGTTGTATAATTAATTACAAATATAATATATTAATAACATGAATACACAACAAAAATCAAATTTACATCCAAAACACTATCAAATTAGACTAATATTAGACCCAATATTAATGACATAATTTGATAGACTATTGAGTAAAGCAAGAAAAGCAATGGATAAACAAAAATAGCAAATAAATGAATAATAACTGTCGGTTCCTATTGTCTGTCTGTTCGCCAGTATTATTAGTTTATGCGTTAAAGCAATTGTCATGTAATACAAGAGCTAACAAAATGACATCAAAACAAAATCCTATGCTTTTTGGATGAATGAGAAAATTGGACACAAGAAGAAGAAGTAGTGCCACACTATGTATGAGCTATACTTAGGCAGACATTGTATGCGAGATGTGATGTGTTTTTGGCTCTTTTGCCATAAATACTATACAAATAGTCAATACATATCAGAATATAACCCAACTTAGCGTTACATTGGATGTGGATTTAAGCTCTTCATCTCTCTCTCTCTCTCTCTCTCTCTCTATTGTTACCTAACATACATCACATATATAAAGGGACGGCATATCTAATTGGCCTTTAATTATATAATTGTTTTGCCGACACCGGTATCTATGTGTGTGTGTGAGTTAGCCCTACCACTGGTGTCGGTGTGTATGTGATTGTCGTCCTCCTGAGCCATCCCTTTCTCCCTCTTCAGCCAAAAACATCTGTTATTCAAATGAAAAGAGTGTGTCATTCGCAGCACCGGTAGTGCAAGTGATGGCCCTCTTGTTTCTGGTGAACCCGAAAGCCAATTAAAATAAGTGTCAGTTTAAAAAATTGCTTATAATTAGCGATAATTATAGTGATATGAAATGTCACAACACTGGGAGGTCTCTGACATTTGCACCACCAATGGATTGGGCCATTCAAATGAGTTTCTTTTATTTGTCATGAATTT